AGGAGACTTACAGTCTGTGTGGTGGACTCTGGTGCCAGGCCGTCTTTGCTTATGGTCAGTTTGAAAGTGTATTCAACCTCAGCCTCCAGTTCTGAGCCAGAGATCCCCAGCACAGGGCCGCTGGAGCCCAGGCCGAAGTTCAGGGTGGAGCAGTGCTCTGGACCCTGAAAAGAGAATTTGCAGCAGTTTTTTATTTATGTTGTCTGTCTGTCAAGTTGTACAAAATCCTGTTCCACACAGTCTCAAATTCATTCCAACAAACACACTTGCATTTGTAAACTATGGCCCAAAATAATTGGGGAGAGATTAAGGGAAAGCCGACCTACAAAAATAAGTTTCCAGTACTTGTTTCAAATAAATCGCCGACCCGACAGCATCAGGAAGGCTGTTCCAAAGTTTGGGTGCTACAGCAAACTTTGGAACAGTTTTGTGATCACTTTTGGGGTTGTAGCAGAACATGGCGCGTGGAACTATTACGAGATCTCGACCAGATGATCTGAAAATTTGAGGTCTCAGTAGCTCCAATAAATAAGCAGGGGCCTGTCCATGCTGTCAGCTGTTAATAATGGGATGTTAAAGTGGATTCTTAAGCTCATTAGAAGCCAGTGACGGGAAGAGAGAATACGTGTGATATGAGAGTGCTGCCTTGTTTTTTTTAGCAGCCTTGTTGCTGTGTTGTGCACCAATTGGTGACGAGAGCTCTGATAGATACATGTGAAAAGCAAGTTCCAATAATAATGGCTGGAATAAGGGTAAGAAACACACCAACATGGTCAATTATTAATTGGTGGAGAGTGTTAAGAAGATTAAGGCTGACGCTTGGATTTTTCAGTAGTACTAAAAGAGGCTGTATCAGAGCTTTGTGCTGCCCGTGGGTTCTCATCAGCACAGGCACGGACAGAGACCGGGTAGAGCAGCAAACAGACTTTTATTGGCGAGTGTTCACACATACTGCATAAACTAAAACCCTGTGTGCTCCACTGGAGCTTGCCTGGCATGGCGAGGCACACTCAACTCTAAGCGAAGCTAAAGGAATATCTTCTCCTAAGTTTGGACAAAAGCCCACCATCAGCTATGAGTCTCAGCATGTGTGTCATCTGGTTTCAGCATGCTACTGCATAAAAGGAGAGGTTGATTAGCCAGCTTGCAACAGGTGAGTCAGTCACCTGGCACTGCTCCCGTACCAGTCTGCCCAACCTGTTCTCCTGCAGCTGAGCTAAAAACCACAGGCCATTACCACAAGGATAAAATCAATCAAATACTCAATAAATACACTTCCTGTTAACATTAAAATGAGGCCCTCTGTTTTTTAAAGTCCAACCTAATCTTGCACTTTCATGTATTTGATATGTATAAAACTGCTTATCCAACTTTTAAGTCCCAGAGTAGCTTAAAAAAAACATATTTGATAAGAGTTTAAATATATTTAATTATTTTATCTAGAGACAAACATGGGGAAAAAGTAAAGAGGTATCCGCAAACGACAAAGTTACATTTAATTTTTAAATGCATCAAGTTAAACGTTTCAGAGCTTTGATATGCACCCACACTTTAGAAACACATGTAAATAGCAGCACTGTGAGCATAGTCAGCACGGAAATAACTGACGTAAATTGAAATGTTTATTTTAAAACTCTGAGTGACAGGTCCCGAAATTACTGATTTTCTGCACCATTAATATTTTTTCTTATTTGCAACAGTGTTGGATTTTGCTTTATGGTTATTTTTTATATTCTTTACACCTTCTTGCCATTTTATCGTCATCATTATCTGATAACATCTCTCACTGGAGCAGGCAGCCACTCATAAAGATCATTTTGTGTGCCCGAACAGTAGCCTGACCTGAAAAACATCCGTTTTTATGTGAGCGTGCATAATGACTGTAATACTGTGTGTGCCAAGTTTATTTCCCATCCTGTAAGCAGCACAAACTCCTAATTTTCACAACTGTAGTTGTATGGTAAATTTTGTAACACAACTTAAATAGTCACCAAGTGAACAGCCAAGTAAAAATGGTCACAGATGTTATATTTGATTTTGTGCGCTGTATTTAAAAAACAAAGCAAAGATCCGCTGCCATGTAAAATGTAGTTTATAAGATGATTTGTCAGTTATTTCATCTTTTATTAACCACCTCTGTCATCATGTTCAATTGTGTTTGTATTCAAGGTCAGGGATGTTGTGTTGAACATTTCAAGACCTGGGATCTGGTTAATTCCTCTTTCAGTCTTTGAACTGAGTGTCTTTTTTTAATCAATAGTACTGCACAACTGTGTGTGAGTGTGTGTATGTGTTTATGTGGACTGTGTAATTGTCAGGGTGGGGAGCAAAGCACCAGCTGTGGAATGCAGAGTTTATGTCTAAACACTTACATAACCCTTTAAATGCCTATGTGATCAGATGGACACCCGTACATCTCTGCACAACTATCTTTGCGATCACCTCGTTGGCCCTGTACTTCTCTAACATTTGTCATATTGACATACTGGCCTGGTCCAAATATCCTCACCTTCAATTGTCTCATTCAAAAGTTCTCCACTAAAACTGGTCCTCATGAAAATGGAAATACAACTATGCACACAAACTATTCTGGACACTCCCATCCCACTGGGTCTTATATTGCGGGTTTTTTTGCTGCTCCGGCAGAATGTGTTCCCGCCCAGCCAAGAAAGCACAAAGTGTGAAAAACACTAAATTGACACACACATCAGCATACACTCAACTCAATTTAACACA